AAATGGCTTGTATCTTCAAGAGTCAGAGCCCTAAGCTCAGAGGACTGGGAATCTCTCCCACAGTCCAGAAGGCAGGACATCCAGAAACCAGGACATCCAGAAGGCAGCTTCGTGGAGGGGTGAAATCAAGCTGGGCAGTGAAGGCAGAGAGGACTTTTCAGGTAGGAAATGGTCTTAGAGGAGAAGGCTGCACCTGAGCAAGGCCTGGAGGTGGAGAGAAGGAAAAGGGTTTTTCCTTCTAAGTTATACAAGCAGGTTTGAAGGATTCCAGCGGGCTCCAGACTTACCCTTGTTCTCCCTACCCCAACAGCCTAGTTGAGCCTTCTTCTCGGTCAGGGAAGCCAGTGTCTTCTGGCTCCTTCTCCAGCCCTCCAGATCGCTCCCTCTTTTTTGAAAAGCTTTCCTTGCCTCCTTGACACCTGGCTCTTTCGATTTTTCTCCTCTCCTTAGGCTGTTTCTCCTTGTCTCTTCTGATTCTTCTTTCAGCTCCTGAAGAGTTTCTAAGGGAGAGGCCTTGGCAGCTTTCTGCATGTGATGTCCTTGTGCAAACCTGCTATCAAGATCCCAGGGAAGGGCCTGTCAGTGGTTGAAGGGATGACTAGCCCTGTGAATGCACACTTAATTTTTGGTGTCTTCTGGATGTCCCCAGGCAAGAATCTCTGCCTTCTCACCTCCTTTACCCTAGATAATGCAGCCACTGCCCCTTTCTGGCTGAGCTTAATTGATTCAAGCTCTCAAAGGCATCTGATTAAGGGGACAGTACCTGATGGCATCAAGCAAAGGTGTCAGGGGTCTTGTGATGGATTCAGACATGAGTTCGCACCCACACAAAAAGAGGAAAGCCAGATTTGGGAAGAGGCAGTTAATAGTCACTGTGAAAGGCAGTGTGGGAGATGCACCTCATTGCTACGGGAACTCAGAGGAGGAAGACATCAATCCAGCTTCAAGGCAAGACTTCAAGTAGACTTGACAATCTAGCTGGGGAGATGAGCTGTGTGAACCCACACATGGAAACTAACCAAAGGCAATATGTTCTCAGAGGCATCAGAGTTACAAATATGTTCTCTGAGTATTGGAAGAAGAAGGCATTTTTATCCAACTTGGGAATGAAGGTGGCACCACAATTTCCTGGATGGAGCAGAATTTGATCCATGCCTTGGCAGGATGGAAGCAGAAATGAGGTGGAAATAGAATCACTAGGGAAGAGAGTAAGTGGAATCCCAGGGGCAGAAACGTGCAGTATGTCCAGGTAACAGTAGCTGATCCAGGGTGGTTGGAACCTTTTGGTGATGGGGAGCCATAGAAAGTTCTTGAGAAGTGGAGTATGGGTTTGGAGGTATGCAGTGATTGGCAAGTTGCTTCTCATGGCAGTGGTGGGACTGCCATTAGCTGAAATATTAGGTTTGGGAAAGGTAAAATCCAATCTTCATGGATTCATTAGCAATGATTTCTGGGCTAGTGAAGCGGGAGGAAGACTAACCTTTTGGAAAGCACTTGCTTGAGGCAGTGATGCTCAGCTCCTGCGTAGCTGATCCTCAATCTTTCCAAAGATGCTATTTTAACCTAGTTTCCTGGAACTCGTACAACTGAATACAGTATTTGATGTTTACAAATTGAATTGGAAAATCTCAAACAAGGCAGAAAAAGCTATTATTTCAAGCTTTCTTTTGGCTCTGTTTTAGCTTATGTGTCTAGTGACTGGAGAGGCGGGAAAAAGACCATGGTGGAGGAGCTGGGTGGCTGGGGCAGGAAGACAAAGGATTCCATTCTGGATGTGTTGAGGCTGAGGTTCATGGTGGCTTGCAAGTGGAGATATCCAGCAGACCGTCGTGCTTATAAATCTGAAGCTTCAGATAGTGGTTTGGGAGTATATTAGCAAGCATTCTTCTACTTATAAGAATCATAATCCTAACTTTAACTGTCTCGAGTCAAAAAGGCAATTTATCAGCTCATATAAGTGGAAAGTCCAGGCATTGGCTGGCTCTGACATTAGGCATGGCTGGACATAGAGGTTCAGTGATGTTCAATTATGTCAGTTAATAGTCGCTCCGTCCCTCTGTTTGTCTCTCCACATCTCAATTCTATTGGGCCATATTTGGCTTCATTCTGCATGTAGGTTCTCACCACCAGATAAGCTCAGTATCTCCAGAGGAAAGAGGCTAATTTCTGCCAGCAGCAAAGTCCTGGGAGAACTCTAATTGGTCTGGATTAAGAATGAAATAAGACTACCCCAGTCCTGAAGTTAGAGGATGGCGGCCATTGTGATTGGCAGTTTCCCTGTGACCTTGTGGAATGCAGAATAAGCAATTCCCCAAAGCAGAAGTGAGGTGTCATTCCTAGGTATGTATGCTGGGTCAAGAAACAGTACAGCATCCATGGGCTGTATCAGGGTGTCTTCACTACACAAGTGAGGATTCTGCAGCTCAAGGAGATGAGATCACCTAGGAAGGCTGTATATAGACATGAAAGAGGAGGGCTAGGGCTTAATCTGCTGGAATTCAGGGAGGAGACTGGCCAGAAAGAGGCTTCCAGGAGCTGGGAGAGTCAGGAAGGGTCCAGGGCAATCCAAGCCTCAGGAGGAGATAACGAGGAAGTGATCCTCTGCAGAGAGTTCCAGTGATGTGGCAATGGAAAAGTAATTGCACAGTCGAGTCACTGGAGAGCTCGGAAAAAGCTGGGGACAAGGGGATGATGGGATGGAAGCCAGCTTGGAGGGGCTATGAAAGGAACAGGGAGTGCTGGAGCCAGGGAGGCTGCTGAGTTTTTGGTTTTGTTTTTGATTTAATGAGGAGACGCCGGATGTGTTAATGCTCAAGGAAGAGGATGAAGTTTGGGGAGAAGGAGGGAATTCAGATGTAGCTGTAGGAGTTAAGGACAGAGGCAGCAGGATTACCTTTGTCTCCAAAAGACCCTGCTGTATCCAGGTGCATAACATGCAGAGTTGAGTCCATCTTGTTCAGTTAATATTATATGCATTTCCCATTTGCAATGTAGTATTCATACTTATCTTTTAAAGTTAGTTTTTAAATCACAAAAGCAACACATGCATATGGTAAAACAAAATGCAAACAGTTCAGAAGGAATAAAAGATGAAAATGAAAGTCTTCTCCATCCTCCCTCAGCCTGCCTTCCTGTAGGAAAACTGCTTTTCATCAGTTTCTTGGGAATTCTTCCCAAAATTTTTAATGCATATACAAATATATATGTGCATATATTTTAAAATAGACAAGTGGGATCCTACTGTGCCTACTGTTCTGCACCTTGCTTTTTTCACTCAATGCTGTATCTTGGAGATACTTTCTTATTAGCATATAGAGAGACCTCACTCCCTTTCAAGAGCGTGATGCTGTTCTATTGTGGGGATGGAGCAGGGCTTGTTGAACAATTTTCTACTATGTGGACTTTCTGTTGTTTCTAATCTGTTGCTATTAAAAAGACTACTTCAATATACCTTTTCTTTTGGACAGAGTTTCGCTCTTGTTGCCCAGGCTGGAGTGCAATGGCGAGATCTCAGCTCACCGCAACCTCCGCCTCCTAGGTTCAAGTGATTCTTTTGCCTCAGCCTCCTGAATAGCTGGTATTACAGGCATGTGCCACCATGCCCAGCTAATTTTTGTGTTTTTAGTAGAGACGGGGCTTCTCCATGTTGGTCAGGCTGATCTTGAACTCCTGACCTCAGATGATCTACCTGCCTTGGCCTCCCAAAGCACTGGGATTACAGGCATGAGTCACTGCACCTGGTCTAATATTACCTGTTAATATACTTATTTTTGTGCACAGATGGAACTATTTTTGTATGTAAAATTCTTAGGAATGGAATTATTGGAGTTAAAGAGTATATACATTTAGAAGTATAGGTAATGCCAAATTGCTCTTTAAAGAAGTCACATAAACGTGAATATTTCAGAGCTTAAATAGGAGATACACAGGTGTTCATTATATTACTGCCCATTTTTTTTGCATGCTTGGATAGTTTACCCACATATGTACAAGAAGTCACAATATTTACACTCCCATGAACAGTAAATAAACATGCTCTCATTTTCCCAACAGGCCACTAACGAGATTTTAAATCTTTGTCCATCTGAAGGGTGGAAAATGGTATATCCCTATCGCTTTAATTGCATTTATTTAATCATGAGGGTGGCTGATCATTTTTTCAGTTAATTGCTTTGCATTTCTATTAAGTCGTACTTTAATGCCTACAGACGGTTTCATTTTATACATGTGCCTTAATTTACTTAACGCTCTTCTTGTGGGTTATTTATATGATTTCTGAACAACTGTGAATATCTTTGTACGTGAAGCCTTTTTCTCTTCTCTTTTTAGACTTTTGTCTTCAATCTGCCATTCCAGAAGATGAATTGCTGGGTCAACAGTGTGGACATTTTTATGACTCAATACATATTGTCAAATTGCTTTCTCAAAGGACAGTACAATATACAGTACCCCCAATTTTATTATTCTCTTATCAGCGTTAGGTATTGTAAATACAAATTAATTTGTTTCTAATTTTATAGGTAAAAATGAGGCCTTAATTTCATTTGCATTTTTCTTACCAGTGAGGTTGAATATTTTAATATGTTCATTTATTAATTGCATTTCACCTCTCTGAACTGTCTTCCTTTCTGCTTATTTACTGATAGCACATGCCTATACAAAGGAAATAAGATGATATCTTATCAGGGAAACCTCTTTCCTCAGGCCCTGTGACCTTCTGGGAAATTATTGACTGATATCAGATTATCAAAGTCAATCTTTTACATGAGAACACTGGGGAGGGAGTGATTGAAAAGACTTAGGTGATACGGGGTGAAGACGGAAGAACTGAATGAATAAGACTCTAGGTAATGATGTGGGTTGCAGAGATAAGGGAGGTGGAAAGAATTTATGAGTCGGGATGGAAATTTCATGGGCAGCATAGAGAACATGCAGGGCTCAGAGTTCTCCATCTTTCAGCTTCCACATGGAGCTCTGGGTGACCCAGACAGCAATGATTAGGTTTCAGAATGCTGACCTAGACATTGTCATCTCTGCCACGTTCTACAGACTTGAAAACAGATTGGACCGAGGAAGGATTTTGCTTAAGCCTTAGATGAGCAGTTACTAAGCCCCATACCCTTTTTTTATCCAGATAGCCATTTAGTTTCACCATTGTTAACAATCTATGTTAATTAATTTGATATCTAGATTTATTGGTATTATACTTTATATTTCTTTTATTACTAATTTTCATAGATTTCTTTGATCACTTTTCACGTGTATGTATGTATACATATATGAAGTTAAAGAGTATATACATTTAGAAGTGTGATAGGTAATGCCAAATTGCTCTTCAAAAAAGGTATGTAGGCCGGGCGCGGTGGCTCAAGCCTGTAATCCCAGCACTTTGGGAGGCCGAGGCGGGTGGATCACGAGGTCAAGAGATCAAGACCATCCTGGTCAACATGGTGAAACCCCGTCTCTACTAAAAATACAAAAAATTAGCTGGGCATGGTGGCACGTGCCTGTAATCCCAGCGACTCAGGAAGCTGGGGCGGGAGAATTGCCTGAACCCAGGAGGCGGAGGTTGCGGTGAGCCGAGATCGCGCCATTACACTCCAGCCTGGGTAACAAGAGCGAAACTCCGTCTCAAAAAAAAAAAAAAAAAAAAAAAAAAAGGAATAAAAACGTGAATACCTCGGAGCTTAAGTAGGAGATACATAGGTGTTCATTATATTACTACCCTCAGTCCAATTTGTTTTCAAGTCTGCAGTACCTGTGACATTAGTATATTTTATGTGCGGCTCCAGACAATTAGTCTTCATCTAATGTAGCCCAGGGAGGCCAAAGATTGGTCACCGCAACATAGAGCTTAAGTGTAAGTATATACATGTGTAGTATCCACCCATACTATTTTATTACTGTTTTTCATACGTGTGTGTGTGTGTGTGTGTGTGTGTGTGTGTGTCTTCACCTCTTTTGGGTGGAATTGACTGTTCATGTTCATTTTTCTTTCTTTTGGATGTTATTTTATTGACTTCTTTTTTTTTCCCTCAAGATCTGATGATTATATATATATATATATATATTTATTTATTTATTTATTTATTTATTTATTTTGAGACAGAGTTTTGCTCTTGTTGCCCAGGCTGGAGTGCAATGGCATGATCTCACTTACTGCAACCTCCGCCTCCTGGGTTCAAGTGATTCTTCTGCCTCAGCCTCCTGAGTAGCTGGGATTACAGATATGCGCTACAACACCCAGCTAATGTTTTGTGTTTTTAGCAGAGATGGGGTTTCTCCATGTTGGTCAGGCTGGTCTCCAACTTCCGACCTCAGGTGATCTGCCCACCTCAACCTCCCAAAGTGCTGGGATTACAGGCATGAGCCACCACACCCAGCCTATTTTATGGACTTTCAAGTAAACTCTATATATTAAAGTTATAAGACTGTCATATTTTTCACAAACATTATTTTTAATTTGCTTGCCTTTAATTTTGTTTGTTTCACTTTTTTTTCTTTGGAGATGGAGTCTTGCTCTGTTGACCAGGCTGGAGTGCAGTGGTGTGATCTCGGCTCACTGCAACCTCTGCCTCCTGGGTTCAAGTGATTCTCCTGCCTCAGCCCCACCCCACCCTACCACGCCTGGCTAATTTTTGTATTTTTAGTAGAGACAGGGTTTTACCATGTTGGCCAGGCTGGTCTTGAACTCCTGACCTCAAGTGATCTTCCCGCCTTGTCCTCCCAATGTTCTGGGATTACAGGTATGAGCCACCATACCCGGTGTCACTTTTTGTTACTGAAATGCTCAATTGAGCTTGTCTAACCTGTGGCCCACAGGCTGCATGCAGCTCAGGATGGCTTTGAATGCTGCCCAACACAAATTTGTAAACTTTCTTAAAACATTATGAGATTTTTTTGTGATTTTTTTTTCCCACTCATTAGCTATTGTTAGTGTTAGTGATGGCAGCTGTGGCCCAGCTGCTGCCATGACGCTGGCTGCAGATGGGGAGGTGCAGCCAGGGCTGCTGGCTTCACAGAGCCAGTGAGAGCTGGGAACAGGCAGAAGCCCTGCTCCCTTCCAAGTTGGAGGGCTGGGAGCCCTGCCCTCCCGGGACAACTGTAGCCACCCAGCCGCAGCTGCACATCCAGGCATCTCTGCACTCTAGGGGCCCAGGAAGCCCCCCTGCCCCTAAAGGCTCTGAATTCACTGCTGTCTGGCCTCTCCCCACTCCCAGCACCCACTCCAATTTTAGAGCAAAGTTGTGGTTGAGCCCACGTGCTGTCATGACCCAGCTGGGTAGGTGCATGCTCAGGGCAGTGCTAAAACGCCAGACCCCTACTGCTTCAGCCCCCTCCAGACTTTGAATACCAATGAGCAGGGGAGGGAGACCAAGGTGGGTATAAGAGCAGGTAGGGCAGGTCTGCAGGCACCGCTTGGCATGAACAGTCTGGGCGCTGTGGGCACTGTGGATGGCAGGTTAATGGTGGCAGGAGACAGACAGGCTCCTGGGCAGAAAGGGGCAGGTCCCAGATGAAACCCCACCTTTAGGCCAGGGACAGCTTGAGGGCTGGGGGCCAGGCAGACAGTTCTGCTAACCAGATTGAGAACTTATAGTGCTTTTCTGGGCCTGCTCATGGCCACTCATGGACCAATCAGCGCATACTTCCTCCCCTCTGAGGCATATAAAAACCCTGGACTCAGTCAGACTTACACAGATGACCTGTCTGTGGAGAAGAGCTACCCACCGTGGGTCTCCTCTCTGCTAACAGCTGGACACTTGTCAGGATGACCTGCCTGTGAAGAGGAGCTACCTATTTCGAGTCTCCTCGAGCTGTTCTATCACTCAATAAAGCACTTCTTAACCTTGCTACCCTCCACTTGTCTGCATACCTCTTTCTTCCTGGATGCAGGACAAGAACTTGGGACCTGCTGAATGGCAGGGCTAAAAGAGCTGTTACACAAACAGGACTGAAACATGTCCCTTGCTTGCCACATTGCAGAAGATGAGAAGGAGAGAAGAGAGAAGGAGCCCTTTGGGGAGCCCAGACCTAGGAGCTCCCTGAGCCAGGGCTGTGACACCCTTTTTGGGGGTCTGCAGTTCTTGGAGTCTCCAAGCTTCTGGGCACCACTTCATTCCCCAGTGTTGGCCATGGAAATCACTTGCAGTATGCCTGCTCCAGCTGCAGACTTGCAGGGAACCAGCACCCATGCCAGTGCCTGGAGCTGCCTGCCCTGCCACCGCTGGTGTGCCTGGCTGTGTGTAGCAGCCAGGCCCCATGCTCACTCACTCACAAACCCCTTGTCGCTCACACCTGGCTCACCCTTGGAAGGCATGGGATCCAGGCTGGTAGTGTGAGCCGAGCAAAGCCTGCCAGGCCAAGTGGGCAGAACGAGCCCAGTGGGCCCAAACAAAACTCAGGCAAAGGCGTCAGTGGCCACAGAGGTTTCTGGCCAGAAAAGTGACACCCCCAGGATCCCGTGACTTAGTGTACTTTATGTGTGACCCCAGACAAATTATTCGTCTTCCAATGTATCCCAGGGAGGCGAAAAGATGGGTCACCCTGACATAGAGCTTAGGTGTAAGTTGGATGAATTCTGACAAATGCATATACCTGTATAACCCACATTTCTATCAAAATATGTAATACTTATTGATGGGTGAGATGATCCTTACCTATTCCTCCTTTTGGAGGGCAGATAGAACACGATGATTGGAGATACATGAAATGTGATTAACGCCTCTGCGTAATCAGGACTTGCAATACCCTGAGCATGCCTATCTGATTGTTCATGACGATCACTACTTTGAAAAAAAAAATAACATATATATAAATATTTCTATTACCCTAGAAAGTTTCCCTGTGCTCTTTCCAGTCAATCCTCACCCTCTCACTGCTCTGCCAGAGGCAACCACTGCTCTGATTTCTATCACTGTAGATCAGTCTTGCTTCTTCTAGAATTTCATGCAAGTGGAATTGTAAAGCATGGACTTTTCTGTGTCTGGCTTCTTCCCCTCAGCATAATGTGTTTGAGATTTACCTGTGTTGTTACAGTTGATACGCTCTTCCTTTTTATTGCTTATTGATATCCCATTGTATGAACATAGCACAGTTTGTTTATTCATTCTCCGGTGGGCTGACATTTGGGTTGTCTCTAGTATTTAGCTATTATAAATAATGCTCCAATGAATGCTTTTGTACAAGTCTTTTTGTGAACATATATTTTTATTTTTTATTTTTTGGCTTAATATCTAAGAATGGCTTGCTGGATTATATGGCAAGTGTACGTTTAACTTTTTTTAGAAACTGCCATACTGTTTCCTAAAGTGATTGTACCATTTAGCACTCCCCCTAGTAGTGTAGGAGATTCCAGTTTCTCAGTATCTTGCCAACATATGGCGTTGTAAGTTTTTAAAATCTTAGTCATTCTAGTGGACTGTAGTGGCATCTTGTTGTAATAAGGATTTTCATTTCCTTGATGACTTAGAATGTCAAACGCTTTTTCATGTGCTGTTTGGTCAAATATACCATCATATTGTGGTATATTTGACATAGAGACTTTAAATTTTATGTAGTTGAATTCATTAACCTTTTCTGTTATGAATTTTATTTATTTCATACTGAGAAATCCTTCCTTTTTGGTAGAGATAGGGTCTTTCTATGTTGCCTAGGCTGGTCTCAAACTCCTGGCCTCAAAAGATCCTTCCACCTCAGCGTCCCAAAGTACTGGGATTACAGGCAGAGAATTTCTTCTTAATACCAAAAGCTAGTAAATATTTTTATTTCCTTATAGTCCTTTATTGGTTAAACTCTTAAACATTACATTCTTTCATCACCTATATTTTGTTTTAAATTGTAAGTAAACTATTTGTCCTCAGGAAGTTAACCAACTGGATTGTATATTGAATAATAACTTCTTCCTTTTTTCACCTATTTGATCTACCACATTTATCTTAAACCAACTTTTAACATATCATTGGATCTATTTCTACGATCCCATTATTGTTGATTTTTTCCACCAACAGTACAGTTTCAATTATTAGGGTTTTAGAGTTTATTTATCATGTAAGCAAGTCTACCTTCATTACTCTTTATTTCTTCAAAAATTTCTTTCTTTGCCATTTCAGCGCATTTACTTGTCTCCTAACTGTGGAGGGCTAAATAATGACCCCTCAAAGATGTCCAGGTCCTCATCTCTGGAACCTATGAATATGTTACTTTACATGAAAAGGGACTTTGCAGATGTGATTAAGATTCTTAAGAATCCTGAGATGGGCAAATTATCTTGAATTATCTGGGAGGGGCTCTATATAATCACAAGGGTTCTTGTAAGAGGGAAGCATGGGCGGCAGAGAGAGAAAACCATAGAAACAAGGATTGGAGTCATGGGGCCACAAGCCAAGGAGTATGAGAAGCTTCTACAAGCCAGAAGAACAGGAAACAGATTACTCCTTGGAGCCTCCAGAAGGCATGAGCCCTGCCAATGCTTTGCTCTTAGCTCCTTAAGACTTATCTTGGACTTCTGATCCCCCTGTAGGAGAATAAATTTTGTGTTGTTTTAAGCCACTAACTTTGCAGTTGTTTGTTATAGTAGCAGTAGGAAGCTAACACACTACCTTAAAAATTATTTTTAAAAATGATGTTCTAAGAGTTTTCCCGCTGTAATTTTTATTGGAACTGTGTTGAGCAGAAAATTTAATTTGTGAAGAACTCACATTTTTATACTATTCAGTCTCGCTACTGAAATTTCCCCAGAAAGACATCTCCATGTCCCTCTACTTCCGCTCATTGCCTGGGTTTCTCAGAGGTAGACCTCAGGCAAAGGTTTGAGTGCAAGTAGTCTATTTGGAAGGTGATTCCAGGAAACACGTGTAGGAGAGTGAGAAAGTGAGGCGGGGAAGGGAGGGCTGCCAGTAAAGGGAGTGTTATCAGCAAGTGACCATCGTGGGTGACTGGTGTTTCCCCTCACCTCACCGGGGAACTCTGGGTACCCACGTAGATTGTGCAACTCAGGGCTATCCAAGTTTTCCCTAGGGCACAAAGGCATCACCTGAGCATTGGGAATGGAGGAGCATCTGGGTGCAGGTCACACCATCAGACCTAGTGAGATCATCACGGGAGCCTGTCTCTGCAACCACTGGCTGTGTGGGCAACTCACTTCCCTGCCCCGAGTCCCAGCATCCTGGCATTTCTTGCCTCCTCTAAAGGAGGTGACATTACAAAAAGGAATAAAACTGTCTAACTTTGCACAGAATGTTGCAGCCAGAACAGCTTCCCTGAGGAGGTGAGCTGCCTGCTAAGTGGCTAAGCAGGTGTAGCAGCTGATCCTTCATCCCCAGCACCTTGATGGATACCTGATTTCCAAGCACAGCACCTGCATCTCTTTGCCCAAGGACTTGTTCTGCCTGCCAGAGTCTACGGCAGGTCACAAGCACTGGAGAATTTCTCCTCCCAGCAGTCTCCTGCCAATGACTGGCTGAGGTTGGTGTGCACATACCCCAGCTCTTTGCTCCTGGGAGGTCGGGGGTGAAGCACTTGGATGGAGGCCTGAGTTTGACACCAGCTCCTAGAGTTCCCCAATGGATTAAACTTCACACTGCATCCTTTGCTGGCTGACTCACTTCCCTGCTCCACATCCCACTCTCCAACAGGAGTTTTCTGGGGTAATGCTTACATGCGAATCCTTGACTCATAGTCAGCATTTGGGGGAACCCAAACCAAGACAGTAGGCATGCATCAAAATGGCCAGAGGGGTGAGGTAGAGGCACACCAGACCTGGGAACCAAACGCAGGCACCACTGGGATGAGAGGGAGATTTTGAGCCTGGGGTGTGAGCTGAGAGGGTCTTGGCCCCTTCCTTTGCACCTTCTTTTTATGGCTCCTCTGGCCATTCCTTCAGCTTGGCTGGCTAGTCACCATGGCTATTTGGGATCTGACCCTGAGACTGGGGTCTCAGTAGTGGTTCTGACCCCTGGGCCAGCCCCTTTGAACATCCAGGAGGAGTGAGAGTGTCTAGAAAGTGGTTTGTTTTGTTTTACTTAGGCAGCTGGGTCTGCAGGCCACCTGGACTTCATTTTGGTAGAAGAGCTGAGAACAAATGCTTCTCCATTTGGGAGAATTTAACTCATTTCTGAGAGGGGAGAAGCATCAGCAGAGATTGAGCTACTGCTACAAGGAGGGCATTTGGCTGGTACCCTCCCTGGTAACCATGGGGATGGAGGGAGTGGGAGCCTGGGATCCATATCCCATAAAAACATTGGCGGCTGGATTGCAAGATGAAGGGCCTGCAGATACCCTCAGACAACGTGTAATTTATGGGGTAATCAGAACTCCTCCTGGAGGGCTGCGAGGGAAGAGGAGCTATGATTCAGAGCCTTAGGGGCTTGGATGTTTAATGAGGCACTGGGAGCCCATAAAGATTTAGATCAGAATGATTTGCCCTTTTAGGATGCGGAATCTATCTTAGCACTGCCCCTGAAAGGTACAGCTTCTTTGACTGCTCTTGGAAGTCTGGTTGCTGAAATCAACTGTCCCAGCCTTTGAGGAACACCGTGTAAGGGCCCAGCTAAGGCATCTGGAGACTGAAAACTGTCAGCTGGCTGCCATGAGAGAACTGAAGCTGAGAGACAGTAAGAATCTCAAGCTAGAAAGGTCTTTATCGAGGGGTAACTGAAGTCCAGGTGGTCAAGTGACTCGTTCAAAGTCACACAGTGCACCAGGGACCATTAGCACCAGTGATTAGTTGGAAGAAAAAAGAAACTGCTAGAGTCTAAGCAGGGAGAAGAGTGGGCATGTTTCCTTCTTGAAAGGCAGAGGGCAATCTACAGGGCACAAAAGACAAAAATAGTAGCTTTTGGGGTTTTAAAGCTTGAACATTTTAAACTGCTTCCCTAAATGCAAAATATGTATTATGACACTTTGAGAATCTTTAATGGTTGGCTCAGCAATAAGAAGGAGCTTATTATTATTATTAATATGTGGCAATTGACTCATGAAATGGATTAAAAATGGTGTGGTGGCTCACGGCTGTAATTCCAGCACTTTGCAAGTCTGAGGTGGGCAGATCGCTTGAGCCCAGTTCAAGACCAGCCTCAGCAACATGGCAAAACCCATTCTCTAAAAAAAAATAAAATACAAAAATTAGCCAGGTGTGAGGGTATGCACCTGTAGTCCCAACTATTTGGCAGGCTGAAATGGGAGAATCATTTGACCCTGGGGAGGTTGAGGCTGCAGTGAGCCTCCATCTCAAAAAAA